CTTGTTGATTGCTTTCTTGCTGGGGTCCAGACAAGTCCAGCCAGCGAACAGTCAGGGTTCATTGCCACCTGTGCTATTTGGGGAGGTGGTCTTCTGGAGCCTCCTCCATGCTGCCTGGGGTTGTGTGTGCCTCCAGTGTGTTGGGATGTTGTCACTGGGGGACGTGACTGGGAGCTCTGGGCGAGTCTGTTGGAGCTTGTTGAGCAATGCTTGCAAGCAGGTTCAAGATTGAATCGTAGGTGTGGTGGGCACCGGTGCCAGCAAAGGCGTGGTGGGCACCGGTGCCAGCTGCATACCCAGCTTTGGGGGTCAGATTGGAGAAGAAAAGGTTCCTCTTTGAAATCCCTGTCGAGGTCACCGGCAGTGGGGGAGAGGCACCTCTGGTGCTGGGGTTTGGAGGTTTGGAGATGCCTACCAAAGATGCTCATCAACTGGATGGATCTGCTCCTGGTTACCTCTCTTCAAGGAGTTGGAAGCTCATGTTCCCAGGTCCTACGCTGAAAAAGCAAAGCTGTTGGGGATGTGGTGATCGAGCAGGACAAGAGTGACAACATCAAAGCTCCCAAACATTGGGCTGAGCCGTGCAGTGACGTGGGAAGTGTTGGCTGCAGCCTTGAGCAATGCTCCTGTGATGGAGCAGTTTTGGTCTGTGTTTTGTCTCCTGGCACACGACAGCTAAGAGTTTGTGACCAGTAATGAGGCTCCCCCTTGGCTTTTGTCGTCTGTCTGCGTTTGCAGGAGCTGAAGGACCCTTCTAGATGAGAAAAATGGGCCACCGTGCTGTGTAGCTCATTAACGTGGGGATACGCTGGAAGCCTAGCACCGTCTCAGATGCATCAGTGGTCTCACCACTGCAAGGTCTTGCTGACAAATGGGGCGCAGCTCTGTGGGTGTCCTACACCACATGGTTGTTCGCACCCTCTTCGTCCTTGTAGGTGCACCACAAATATCTCTGGTTGCTCTTTACCGGGTTTTTGGCATCCCTGTTGGCGTTTATTGCTCAAAAATGCACTTTTCTTGTCTGGTTGACTTTGATTTTTGGGAGCAAACCAAAATACTTATGAATATGAGTGGGTGGTCTGGGTGGTTTAGGGGTTGGCATCAAAATTAGTATGGTGTTTTTATTTTTGTTGTGCCCTCTTCTCTTTCTCCCATTAGCTAATTGCTGCTGTGAAGTCCCCTTAACGGTGACTGGTGTTAATGAAGCCGTGCTGGCATAGCTCTAAGATGGCAGGAGCTGCTTTGTGTGCATCTCCCCATGCTGGCACCCACCGCCGCGCTTCCCTGCACGTGAGACCCCGTCCCACCTTCGAGTGAGGGCTATGACGAGGGGTAGGTTTTAATTACCCACCCGGAGACCTTTCCCCAGGACAGGCATCGCGTGGCACCGTCGGCATTGCCCCGGGCTCTCGGTGGATTTGCTTTTTCCCCATCGAGCAGCGCTTGTGCTGGCCGCCGCCTGGGCTTGGCTCCGTTCCACTTCTGTCCTCGGCAGTGGTGAAAGCACATTCCTCGTGATGGGAAAGCCTCCGCGAGAAACACAAAGGGCTTTCATTAGGGGAGGCAGCGGCGGGCGGACGCGGACGGCCAGCGCCGGTACGGGGAAGCTTCACCCCGTCTACTCTTGCGGAGGGTCTGCTGGAAACATATAAGCTCCCTCCAGCAGCGAGTGCGTAGCGGCTGCATTCGCACTTGACAGCATTTAATCTTAAAGCCTACCCGGCAAGGAAAGAGAAATAAATTTTCCTCCTGCAAAGGGAATTTAAGGCCCAGAAGCGTTAAGTGATTTGCCCGGGGTGGGGGAGTGTGCATTGGAGCTGGAAGCCAGGAGGGTGCAGGGCTTGTTTTGGGGAGCCGGAGATCTCTTCTAGCTCCATCCTCGCTAGCTGGAGGAGATGCGAAAGCCGCTGCTCGCGGGTATGGGTGCTGCCCAACGGCCCCAAAGCCAGCATCTCCCTTGCCTTCTGGCCCAGCGGAGGGAGCTGGGTGCCTGCCGACGGTGAGAGCGGCCGGCAGAGCCGCCCCGGCTCCCCCCAGCCATCCCGCAGCCACCAGCGGGTGAATCTCCTGACCTTGCTTGATAAAGCAGGAGAATGAAAAGCCGTGGCACTGGGAGATAAGACACAGGCGGGGGAGCGCAGAATTCAGGGATTGATCCATCTGCCTCTTCCTCTGGCGTGGCTTTTGGCTTTTTTGGATGTATCCCAGCGAGGCAGCTCTGTTCCTGCCCTCGCCCTTGGAGAGCCACCCTGGGCCTTTTTATTTTGCTCTTGGGCTTCGGGCGAGGGAGCAGGGTAGCCGCCTCC